TGCATCCTCCCCAGCACACTCACTGTTCAAGGCAGGGGATCACAGATGGGGATGCTGCAGTGCTGCACTGGGCTCAGCAATGCCAGACCCCCCCAGTTCTGGGGTCCAGGTGATGCACTGGAGCCACTGTGGTCACTGTGGCCGTGGCGCAGCTCCCAGCAGCGCTGCCAGGCTGCAGTTCAGCAGCTCTGGTGGGGTCATCACATTTTAATGCCGTTGGTTGAGTTCTTTAAACAGTGAGAACTTGCAAAGTGCTTTGCATATTTTATACTGGCGAGTCCCATTTATCAAACAGAAAGTACAATTAATCAAAGGGGGGAGCGTTTGGAACTCGGAGCAGTTTGTATTCACCCTCTTCCTGCCTGCTGTGTGCTTGCCTCTGTGTCTTCCTCTTCCCCTTCCCTTTCCTCTTCCTCCCCACTGCCCTGCAGCAGCCATGGAGCCAACGCAGCCTCACTATACACTCCACACACACATATATGTATATATACACACATATATGTACTCTCTCCCCCACCATACCATGTACACATGTATACATACATAAAAATGTTTCATATATGTGTATATATAGGTGTGTGTACATATATATATGTATGTAACCATGTACATATCTCTACATGCATATGCCCCTATCTGGGGCGCAAATATATGGGTATATATGTGTGGTGTATATGTTATGCTGTATATATACATATATCTGTGTATGTGTATATGTATATTTATATGTATATGTATATTTTTATGTATGTATGTACATATAGGCATAAATTGTCCATTTACACTATATATGTGTATATACACTATATATGTGTAGATACACATAAATCACAGTTACACTCACAATATTATACACACAGTGCATAGAGGTTTTTTATATTTATACATATAGATATATACACTACCAGACTATATCTATTATCTGCTATGTAGTGTATCACATATATTACACTATATATAACAAAGACATGTTCTGTATTTGGGCTGCTGGGGGTTCAGCACTGTTGGTGGTGATGCTTCAGCCTCCCAGCGAGAGCCAGTGGTTGAGGGAGCAAGGTGGTACCAGCCATTGGGACAGACAGCAAAGGGATGATGACCTCTCCTCAGGGCATGGGTATTTAGGGGTAAGATCACCCAAACCATGTCAGGCCCCAGGACAACGCAGAGGTTGAATCACAGAATCATGAGGGTGGAAGGAACCTCTGGAGGTATCGAATCCAAGCCCTAAAAGCTGGTGCCGAGGCTCAGCGAAGGGCTGGTACCAGTGCTGGAGGATGCGAGGTGATGGAGCATGGCTGGTGCAAAGGGACCTGCATCTCTGCCACCCCTCTGAGCATCTTGGTGGCTCTCAGCAGTGCAAGGAGAAGCCTTGACCTAACCCATTCTGACTGCCCAAGCCTTGGCTCAGGGGTGGCTGGAGGAGCCGGGTGGATGTGGATGCAGGGGCAGGTTTGGCCAGGGTCAAACCCGGCGTCCTCAGCAGAGCAAAGGAGATGGGAGCATCCCATGTGAGTGCCAGCAGAGTACCTCGGGGCTCTTCCCAGGGTCACAGAGGGCTTCACTGCTCTATTAATTGCTATTAATGGCAACAAATAGGGCAGCAGGTGCCCAGACTCAGGTTAAATGCCAGCGAGAGAAGGGCTGTGCTGGCACTGCAGGACCTGCCTTGCAAATCACCTGCAACAACATGTGCCATCCTGGTCATCTCTCCTCGAAAACGATAGTGCAAAATTAATTAGACTTAATTAATCGGAAAAGGGTAATAAGGGTGATTAAGCACCTGGGGAAAAGAAAAATACATATATATGTATATATAGATATATTCCTGAGGAGGGACTGTGGTGCTGGTGATTACCCTGAAAGGCAGCGAGTGAGTGGGAGCAGGAGGAGAGTGTGCAGGGAAACAAATGGGCTGGAGAAGGGGGTCTAGGGGGTGTTTTCTGTCTCGTAGCACAAGGAATCGCTCAGTGAGGAGATTGAAACCGGTCAGAGGCAAAGCAGAGGCCACAGGGAGGCAGCTGAGCCTCGGAGGGGAGCGAGCAGCTGCTGGAGCCGCGGCTCCTGACACGGGTTGTGCAGCCTTGGCTGCGCACGAACTGGCCCCGAGGTTGGAGCCAGCTTCAGCAGAAAGTGGGGCTCAGCAGCACATCCTCAATGGGGGGACCCTTGTTCCCAGCCCCGGCTCTTTGCTGGGGTCAGGGGAACTGAGGGGAGCTCAACCGGGTTCTTCTTCCTCTCTTAATTTCCAGCCACACTCTGTTGCCTTAATACTTAGAATATAAAATCAAAGGGAACATTTGCAAGCAGATCGGCCCATTCAAAGCAACCTCTGCAGAGCTCCGTGTGTGCAGAAGATGCCCAGCACCAGGTTTCTGTCCTGACTCTTCGGCTGTGGGAGCAGGGGCTGGATGCAGATGGAGTTTTAGGTGGGAAAGCGAGGACCGAGAGCAATGCTCCAGTCTGAGGGGCTGGAGCAGGGCCTCAGCACTCTCCCCTCTCTGCCACCATGAAGGGCTTCAGTGGTGGGGAAGGATGGAGGTGGTGGCTGGGGCTTGATGGAAAAGGTCTTAAGGAGCCTCAGTGCAGCGTGATAAAGAGAAGGAGAAAACTGACTTTTTTGGGGGAAGCAGGGGAACAAATAAGGTAGGCTCCCATGGGAAATAGGTGGCATGGATGGGATGTGGACTTCCAGAGCCCGCTTGAAAGTGCAGGTGACAACAGGAATGCAATGGCTGCTGGTGGTTTCGGGAAGGGGAAAACTGGTGGGGTTTGATGGTCCAAGTACCTGTGTGTGTGGGATGCTCATCCCCATGCACCTCCCCGAATGCCAGCCCACCCTGGGATCAGCCCTGTGCTCAGTGTCCTTACCCTGGTGACAGCCTCATTGCTTTAAAATCTGGAAAGCAAACCGGGTGCGAGCAGCATTCCCAGCTCTGCAGCCAACTACATGCATGCTCCCAGCCCCTGCCATCAGCCCTTCTCTGGAGTCACTGGCACCCCAAGCATGCTCAGGGCCTTCCACAGGGACCAAAAGCTGTCCCAGGGTCACAGCTGCTTCCCAAAGGTGGGATCTCCCTTTGTTTTCCACATAGGCACCACGGAAGCATGGCAAGGGGAGCTGGCATAGCAGCTGCATCCTGGTTGTGCCATGGATTTTGGGGTGAGCAGCTCTGGTTTGGGCACAGAAAGTCCTTGCTGGGGCTATTAGGTTGGGGTGTAAGTGGGTGCTGGCTGGGTGGGAATGGGTTCCACTCCCTTGTGTCCATGCAGCATTGTCCCATTGCCGCTGCCTTCTGACCGCTTTGGGTGATTTCAAGCAGATTTTGTGCCGACAGGTTTTGTGCAAGGTGGGGTCTGGGGAAGGGAGGGGAAGGACTCGCCCTGTATTAAGACACAAGGGAATCCACAGCGGCCTCCTTTCCCCAGCCAACCCAGTTCCGTCGCTGTCATTGTCCCCACAGCAATCCCCTTCTGAAGGCCTTGGGGACTCCCTGTCCGTGGGAGTCGCGGTGTCACCCGTGTCCTCTGGGGTACCGAAGGGAGGCGACGGGGTGGGATGGTGCCCGCGGGGAGGGGGGGTCCCAGGGGTGATGCTCTCAGCTGCATCCCGGCCTGCGGAGGTGCAGCACAGGGAGGACCAGTGCTGAGCCTGCCGGGCCTCACCTCCGCACACTGGCCCGGCTGGACGGGGCAGGGACACTCAGGGTCCCCGCCTGGGAGCGGTGCCCCGCGATGGGGACGGGGTAAGGTTGGGGACCGGGGGGGGAGCAGGTGCCCGGTGCGGGGCGTCAGTGCCGGGGTGCGCGCGGGGCCGGTCCCGTCCGTCCCTGCCCTCAAGCCGCAGCCAAGTTCCCTCGACAGCAGCAGCGCAACGGCGGGACAACAGCGGCCCCGCGTGGCCGCGGCGGGTGCGAAAGGAACGGGACAGGGCAGGGGGCAGCGGGACCGGGCAGCCCGAACGCCCCCAGCCCCTGGCTGCCGTGTCCCGGTTACCCCGAGCCCCCCGCGCACACCCCCGGTGTCACCGCGCCCTCCTGCCCCCATCCCCGGGCTCCGGGCGGGGGGGGGCACCGCGAAGCCGAGCTGGGGCAGCGCCCGGTCCGGTGTCCCCCCCCCCGGTGGCTCCCCCGGGGCCGCCCCGTCCCACCGCGGACCCCCCCCACCCCCCCCCCCCCGGCCCCGACAAGCCGGTAGGAAAGCCCGCCCCCCGCGCTGACCTCATCCTGACGTCACGGCAAGCACCGCCTTCTGATTGGTTCCCGTAGCTGCCAGTCACGGCGGGAGGCGGGGCCGGACGCAGCAGCACGGCCGCCGCCGGAGGTAACCGGGGAGAGCCGGAGGTCGCGGCCGCCGGGGCAGCGGGAGCGGGAGGGACCCCCCGGCCGTGCCCGCAGCAACGGGGGAGGCCGGGAGGGGCCGGGGAAGGGGGAGCTGCCGGGGCAGGAAGCGGCGCCCCCCGGGGGAGCCCAGCGGGTGGGCCCCGGGCCCGATGGGGGGGACCGGGGAAACGGCCTTGAACCGCGCACCCCACGGGCAGGGGCCCCTCAGCCCCGCGGTGGGGACCCCGGGATCCCCCAACTCGGGCACCCCCTTTCCTGCCACCGCCCCGCAAATGGCCGCAGGGATCGAGTAGCTGAGGTGTCCCCCCCCCCGCATCCCGATGGCGGCCGGGTCCAGGTGGTCTCTGCCCGTGTCCGTGGGTACCTGCGCGCTGCCCGGGGCACGGCCACGTTCCGGGCTCACAGCGGGGAGGAGGGAGCCAGGACCCGGCCTCTGGGCCTGGGAGAGTCAAACCCAGAGCCAAGGAAGGGGTGGCGGTGGGCGGGGGTGAATGCAGGTCCTTAACCTGTGAGGTCAGACAGCAGCGAAGCCAAAACCTTCCAGCTCAGCCTCCTGTCACCTCTGAGCCGTGGGGCAGCAGCAGCTCCCGCCCCACAACTGCCCCAGGAAGATGCCTGGGGGGGCCAGGGGAGCTCTTACCCTAGGGCTGTGGTCAGCCTTGCTTATGTGCACCGGGGACTAAAGGGGTGATTTGGGTCTTTTCTTCCCCCAGATCACTACAGGCCAGCTCCTGCACCACTGAGCCAAACTGGATTTCAAGCTGTGATCCCTCAGGTGAGATGCTGCGTCCCCCTGCTCCGTCCCCCGGCTGCTGAAGACCACAAAAACTGCTTAAGCTGGCACAGGAAAGGTTTTGTGTCTGATGGGGTATCTGCCAGCAAATTCAAGCCAGGAACACTGGAAACTGGGTGTTCCAAGTCCTTGAATTTACCCTTTGGCCATCTTCAATCTAGATTGCCAGCACAGTTTATCAAATCCACAGTGGTTTGAGTTGTGAGATGCCTGGCAGGGGGCGATTTATTGCTTGTATTGCTGATTATACCTTGACTTCATTGTATTGCAAATACCTAACTTATGGTGAGATTTACAGTCCCCGGGTAGGTGCTCAGGAGAACTTTGAGCAACTCCAGGTGTAATTGGAGGTGACTGATGTGGGTGTGAGCTGTACTCTCTAAAACATTAAGACAGAGGGGAAAAAAGAGGTAGAATAGGTGAAAAGCGTGGGTCAGCCTTAAAAACAATAGTGATATAATTGTGTGTGTTGTTGAGGAAGGCTCCAGGATGCCTGGTCCAGCTGAGGCAGCCCTGCCCAGGGAGGGGATTCAGGCTTGGTGGTCCTCCAGAAAACATCAGGATTTAGATCTTTGTTCCTTCTCGTCCCAGCTGGAGGTTTTGGGGGGTTTACAGCAGCCCTGGGGAAGGGGTGATCAGTACAAACTGGGGTACTTAGAGCTGACAGCCACCTCCCTGCTTGTGCCTGGGGCTCTGTTGGGCCTGACCGGTGGTTTCTCCCGTCTTGGAGGAGCAGTGAGTCCCACGCGGGCACGTGCCCCTCGGCCACCATGACCAGTGAGGTGGTGGAGAATGAGCTGGAGTTCTACTCCAAGGCCAAGAAGTACTGGAAGGCCGTGCCGGCCACGGTGGATGGCATGCTGGGGGGCTACGGCCACATCTCCAGCATCGACATCAACAGCTCCAGGAAGTTCCTGCAGCGGTTTCTGCGGGTAGGTGGCACCATCTGTCATGTTCCCATCATGTTCCCAAAGCCCCATCCTTCTCCCAGCACAGAGCTCGGCTCTTCCCACCCAATCGCTCCATGGGATCCTCCATTGCATGCGTGCTGGGAGAGCTTTGCTTGCAATGGGTCCCCCATACCCTAAGCCCCATCCCTTACGGTTGCCCCATGTTTCTGTGTGTACCTTGTGGTGGGATTCAGCCCCTCGTGGTGGTTGTTCCAGGATGGCCCCAACCGGACAGGGACAACCCGTGCTCTGGACTGCGGGGCAGGGATCGGCCGGATCACCAAACGGTTGCTGCTGCCCCTCTTCAAGACAGTGGACATGGTGGATGTGACAGAGGACTTCCTCACCAAGGCCAAGAGCTACCTGGGAGAGGAGGGCAGGCGGGTGCGCAACTACTTCTGCTGCGGCCTCCAGGACTTCAGCCCCGAGCCAAACAGCTACGATGTCATCTGGATCCAGTGGGTCATTGGTGAGGGTCTCTTCACAACTTGCCCCCAGGGTGCCCCATGCACTGGGGAGAGCAGCTCAGGGTCTGCATGAAGGATGAGCGTCACAAGTAGGGGAGGCTGGGTTGGGGACCTCCCCTTCCATCCTTACCCCGTGGAGGACGCTGTACTGAGGGCTCTGTTCCTCCAAGCCCTCAAAGGGCAGAGGTGCGGGTTGGATGGAGTTGGATAAGTGGGGCAGAAGTTGGGCACCCCCAAGCTAAAGCGTTCACTTGCAATTGACTTCCGTATTTTGCTGCTTGGATAAGGAGGGATCCCAGCCACAACCTCCGGTCTTCCTCCCTCCTCCTCCTGCCCCACTCACCCTGTGCCCTCTAACCGCTGCTCTACCCCTCCAGGCCATCTCACCGACAGCCACCTCTCCGACTTCCTGAAGCGGTGCCGTGCCGGCCTGCGGCCCAACGGCATCGTGGTCATCAAGGACAACATGGCTCAGGAGGGAGTCATCATGGACGATGTGGACAGCAGCGTGTGCCGGGACCTGGATGTGGTCAGGAAGATCATCCGCCGAGCTGGGCTGCACCTCCTGGCCGAGGAGCGCCAGGAGAACTTCCCTGATGAGATCTACCACGTCTACACCTTCGCCATGAGATGAGGGCAGCGGGAGGAGGTCTCTCCAGGGCCAGCACAGTGCGGTTCCTGCCAGGGCCAGGAGGGGTGAGGACCGTGCCTTCACCGCAGGGCGGCGAATGGCTGCGAGGGTGCCGTGACTCCCTCTCTGTGGGGCTGGTGGCGAGGACGGGGCTTTGTCTTCCACGTTGCTGCTGTTTGTGAAGAGGTGTTTGCCAAATACACTTCCCTGCTGTTGCACTCCTGCACACGTGGGCTTTGTGGGACACAGCGCCTTGGCTTGATGCCGCCTTCAGGGGCTCTGGAGGGGAGCAGGAGGGCATCCCCTGCCAAGAGGTGTGCTCCTGGGCACCAGCACATTGCTGACACCGCAGCTGCACAGGACTCCTGCTGAGGAGCAGGAGCACAGAGCACCTCTGTGACATTCTGGGCTCTGTTCCTTGCCTGGGTGTTTGGCTGTTTGCTGCTGGTGAACTTGCTGCTACTGACAGCAACAAGCTGGGAACGGCAAGTGGGAGGAATCCCTGCCATTGCCCTGCAGTGGGCTGGGGAGGCAACACCAGGTTCTGGGGCTTGGCAGGGGCCTCTCCTTTAAACCCATGAACAGGTCTCCCCAAAACGGGAGGTGGAGGGAATCCTGGCTCCTCCCATTCTCCTCCAGTAATGGGTAACCCAGCTGCAGCCCTGGGAGAGCACTGGTGTGCTCCAGGCATGAACAGGGACCCCGCTCTGTGCTGCTGCTGCGGGCTCACAGTGATGCCCAGCACTTTCAGCCCCAATGCTGCAACACTGGAGCTGCTCCCCCAACACCTCCCAGTGTCACCCATCTCCTCCTTGGCCATCATTTTCCCCAAGTCTGGCCATCAGCTTGTGCCCACCAAACCCAGCACACCTCAGCCAACACTGGCACAAGACAGTGATCCCAGCAGAGGCCCCAGTTGCAACCTGTCCATCACACACAATCCCCCCTCTTCCACCCCATCTCCTGCAGGAGAAACAACCCCCTTGTTGCTATTACAGAAGGCCTCATTTAATTGCTCATTTCCCATTCCAGACACCAGGGGAGTACTTGATGACATTATTATTTTCTTTAAACATCAATTCATCAAGATGCAGAGCTCCAGTTCCACAGGGTGGGAGAAGGGAAAACACAGGAGAGCAATGGGAGGAGACAGCCCTGCCACAGCCAAACTGCTGGTGGATCCCAGATCCACCTGTTACAAACTGAACCTGCTCAGAATAGGGATTTTCCTCTTTTCATCCCCTTCTGCATTTCATCTGTCCTCCATGACAAAAACCAAAACAACAAACAGGGGGGCTCAGCTCCAGAGCCAGTCTTTGGCATGGCACGAGGAAGCCGATGCCTGGAAAGGGAAGGCAGACAAACGTGGCAAGGCTGGGACATGGGGCTCCCAGAGTGTGCAGGCTTCAGCAGCGGGTTGGCAAGAAGACCCCAAGTCTTGCTGCAAGTTCTTGTTCCTAAGAAGTAGGCACTGGAGACCCAAGGTCCTGGGAGCAGTGAGTGAGGGAAAGAGCTGAGGAACAAGGAGGGAGGCCAAGGCACTCAGCAGTCAGCCATCCATTCCTCATCCTTGCACAAGGGAGCACACCAGAAAGCAGGGAAACATCCAGTTGTCTGTGTGTTTTGGAGCCCAGCACCTCCAAGATGCCCTTGGTGGATGGTCCTCTGTGCTGGGAGGATGAGGTGCGGAAACTCAAGAGGGTGTAGAGCCACACCAAGAAGCCAGGCTTGCCTCCACCATGACTGCTCCCACCACCACGATCAGAGGGAGGAGACCAGGAGCACCTCTTCCCCCAGCACCCCAAAGCATCTCAATGTCACCCACCCTGGACCTGGCAGGGCTGGAAGGCCGGGGGCCAGGCTATTTCTGCCCAGCCACACTGCCCCAACCACCCCACTGCTCCTCCCCACCAGCCCTTCCTTTAAAACCCACACAAACCAGCCCTCTGCCCCAGGGTCCAGGGAGCCACAGGGCTCTGCCCACTTCCCCATGACATGCTCCAGGGCAACGGGGCCTCCACAGATGTGCATGTGGCATTATGCCCAAACCATGGACAGAGAAAACTGTCCCAGGGCAGAGATTTGGTGGCACACGGAGAGGTGCAAGTCAGGCTCAGAGGTCCTCCTGCCCAGCAGCAGTGTGGTCAATGAGGAGGTACCACTTCAGCCTGTCTGGAAGAGGTAGAGCCTTGATTTTAACATCTACTGGCCATGGTTTAAGGCGCTGCCGGATGAACACCCTGCAGAGATGCTTCAGTGCCTGCGGGGAGCGCTCCAGCTGCTTCAGAGAGCAGAAGAGAGTCCGGATCTTCTCCCCGTGGTACCTACAGGTGCTGGTGTTGACCTCAAAGTTGCTGGGCAGCTGGATGGCTTGTGAACTGGCCATCATGAGCTCCAGCAGAGTCTGGCCCTTCTGGATGAGGTCTGTAAAGAAGCTGTCGTCTTCGGAGACGCTGAGGTGCGAGCAGAGGCACTCGAAGATGATGTGGAAGCCGGACCAGCACGAGGGACCATGGAGGGAGCAGTTGTAGGCAGCACCCGACTCCAGCAAGAAACGCAGCAGCGGGAAGTGGCTCTTGAAGCTTTTGAAGCAGAGGTGGGTGAGGGACTCTGGGGCCGGGCACTCGCTGGGGTTGGCACCGTGGGCCAGCAGCAGCTGTGTGACACGGAAGCAGAAGCGGCTGATCACCTGCGCCTCCTCGCTGCTGCTGCACACCATCTCTCCCAGCAGGAAGATAACGTAGGTGAAGACGGTGTCACCATCTCTGGTGGTGGCCCTGACATCTGCACCTGGAGGAAGGGACAGAGGAGGTAACCGGTGCTGCAGACCACGAGGCAAGGACAGCACTAACTCTGGAACTGCTGGGCTTTGCTCTAGCTCAAGCAGGAACATAAAGGACAAAGAATCAGCCAGAAGTAGCCCTGGAGAGGTTGTGGGCGGAGAGAGAAAAAGGTTGTTCTCACCTCCTTCCAGCAGGAGACGGATGCTCTCAGTGTTGTGGATCTGGACACCATCGCTGCTGGCCAGGGCATGCAACAGCGCTGTCTTTCCTGCAATGGAGCAGGCAGTCAGATGAAAACGGGGTGACAGCCCAAAAGGCAGGAAGGAAAACAATCCACCCCACCAACCAGACAGCTGAACATGGGAGAGACAATGCTTCTCCTTCTGGCAGGCTTCCACTGATCCCATGATGGTGCACAGCTGTGGGGACAGGCCACACTTGCAGGACTGGTAGTGGCCCCAGAGGGCATGTACGCCACATGGGCTCCACAGGGCTATGGAGGCACAATCCCTTCCCTTCTGCCATGGCCTGTGTGGAGCTGGTCTCAGCCCCCTTCTGCACCTGACACAGGCAGCAGCAAGGAGGAAACACACAGCACCAGGGAGGGTCTGCAGCCTGCACCCAACTTCCAAACCATCCTTGCAGCAGAAAGACGGAAGGGCCCAGACCCCCTGTCCCACTCCAGCCCACCCATGAGGCTGCCTGCTGGGGCTGGGGGGGCTGCATGGGGCACACAAACCATTTTTGTCAGCTGTGTTGACATCGGCCCCCAGCTGAAGCAGCCGCTGCAGACACGGCAACCGCTCCGGCTCCTCGCTGGCCAGGTCGAGGGGGCTGCTCTCATGGATCTGCACAGAGCAAGAGGGAAATCAAATCACTACAAGTATTAAAGACCATTTGTGAGTGACTCCTGCTGGGGCTCCATCACGGCCAACATAAGAGCATATCTGAACCCACGCCCCAAAACCAAAGGGAGCCTTTCCCTGGTGCACAGGTTTCTCTCCTCCCACCCATTGCTCTATGGCAGAAGCAGGTTTGCTCAGCCAAAGGCAACTTGAGCTTCTGTCACAGCATCAGCGTGCTACAGGCCAGGTTGCCAAGGGGAAGGGGCATGCAGTGAGGCCCGGGAGGTGGGCAGCAAGAAGGGCTGTCCCCACACGCCAGCCCCTTGCACCTAAGTCTCAAGGGAACTCAGCGTGGCCATGCCCATACCCGGTCTCTCCGGTTGATGTCAGCCCCGTGGTGCACCAAGAGCTCCACCATATCAGGCTGGTTACGGAGCACGGCGATGTGCAGGGAGGTGTAGTAGGTGACTGGATCTGAGGACAAAACACAGGGTCAGAGAGAACAAAGGGCTCCCCAGAACAGCCCATACATGGGCCAGAAGTGGAAGGGGACAACTGGGAAGGGCCCTGAGGACACAGCGATGCCCACAGAAACAGGGCTGTCACAGCTCCCTGGGTCCTGCTTTGCAATGGCTCCATCTCTGGCAAAAGCCCCCCATCCCTGTGGCTGGGTCTGCACAAAGGCTGCCACAAGGCCCACCCATGGCATCCCAGCAAGGAGCGGGGGTCTGGGCCGGCAGCACCCTCTCTGTCAACCCCAGCTATCAGCACTGCCCCTTCCCACCATTCTCACCTTCAAAGCTGAGGTCTGCTCCAAACTCCAGGAGGATTTCTGCAGCGGGAACGAGCCCCAGCTCGGTGACCTTCAGCAGGGCATAGCTCACACCTTCCTGATAGAAGGGGGAGTGCGTCTCCCTCTCCAAGACTCGTCTCACAGCTGAGAGCTGGCTCCGGTCGCTGCCCAGACAGGCAGGGCTTGAGACACAAAAACAGCCACTTACTCAATCATGGATGTCTCATGGGGGTCAAAGTAGCACCAGGGAAGAAGAGGCCCTGAGAGGTTTCCCCTCGCCTCATAACCACCACTTCTGAGCTGTTGGCTGTGGGATTGTGCAACAGCATCAGGGTCACAGCTAAACCCGGTTAGGTTTTATTGCCAGGGGTCAGGCAGAAGGGGCCGCTCTTGGGAGTACATGTACTGCCCAGGTTAGCTCTGCTCCTCCCCCCATTCCAAACAACAGCAGCAAAAGGAGGGTCTGTGTGACGGGACTGGGATTTGCTCCCAGCCAGGGCCATACCTGACCTCAGTCACATCACTGAGCTCCAGCTGCCACCCCCCCAAAACACCAAGGGGGTGTTTGACCCCATCCACTTACCTCTCAAGAGCACTCTGCCTCTCCGCATCCTGTATCACCAGCAGCCCCAAGAGCTCGTCCACCAGGGGCTGGTACTCGAAGATGATCCTGCGGAAGCCGTGCAGGAAAGGCATCGTCCTTTGCTCCACGCACAGACCACGCAGGGGCCTCCAGCATGGCAGTGGTGTCCCCCCCTCTCACGCACGTCTCTGGCAGCGCTGCCTGGTTTCCAAAG